GTCCATTTGACTTTGTATTCAGTGATTGGTTCCGGATGATCAGATACCTGAGTGGTTCGTCGGCCGATGATGGTTTCGACAACGAATTCAGGGCCTGTGGGTAACATGATTGGTGGAGGTCTAGGRTATGGGCGGTCGGCGAACTAGAGCGGGGATTCATGGTATTCTTTTAGGTACTCGACATGGAAGACTGGGTGGACACGACTCATGTCAGGGGGRAGTTGGAGTTTGTAGTTGACGGGGGAGGTTTGTTCAATGATGGGGAAGGGACCGAGCCACTTGTTCGAGAGTTTCTTGGACAAGCCTTGTTCGGGTTCAAAGCGTTTGGCAGAAAGCCAGACTTTGTCCCCTACTTTGAATGACACGTCACGTCTGTGTTTGTTAGTCTTGTTGGCTTGTTGTTCTTGTGTTCTTTCAAGGGCTTCGGTTGCTTCTCTGAGGAGTCTGTTCATTGTTGCTATCCATTCATTGAGAGAGGGGCAGGGGATGGAGGGGCTGAGCTGCGAGGGACGCAAGAAATCAGAGGGCAAGCGGGGATGGTAGCCAAGGTCGAGGTAGAAAGGGGACATGCCAGTGGAAGGGCAGACAACATTGTTGTAGGCAATTTCGGCGGTTGTGAGCAACTGATCCCGATCGTGTTGGTATGGATGACAATACTTCCGCAGGATTCCTTGGAGTGTATCGTTCATCTTCTCTGTTTGTCCATCGGTCTGTGGGTGGAATACAGTGSTATACTTGAGCGTGGTTCCGTAGGCCGTGAAGAGGTATTTCCAGAATTGTGAGAGGAAGCGAGGATCACGGTCACTGATGATGTTCCCGGGGAGGCCGTGATGGCGAGCAACATGGTCGAAGAAGAGTGTGGCGACGTCTTTGGCATTGTGCGAGGTCGTGCAAGGGATGAAGTGGGCACGTTTGGTGAAGCGGCATACAATAACGTGGATGCAATCATGTCCGCGGTCGGTCTTGGGGAGGCCGCACATGAAGTCCATGGGGATGGACTGCCACCGGTGAGTTGGGATGGGCAATGATTGGAGCTTGCCGGGTTTGGCCCGGTTCGAGGGGTTGACAGCTTGACATGTGGGGCACGAGCGAATGTATGCCTTCACGTCGACGAGTAGGGAAGGCCAGTAGAAGTAGCGGGAGATGGTGTCGAAGGTCTTCTAGAAACCGAGATGTCCTGCGGTCTTGGCGTCGTGGTGCTCGGCTAAGAGCTAAGTACGAACGCCTCGTGCGTCGGGGATGCAAAGTCGGCGAGTGCCTTTGGTATCGATGTAGAGGAGATTGTTGTGAAGGGAGTAGTCGGGAACTGAGTCAAGATCGCAAAGCTTGTTGTAAATGGTGGCGAAGTCTGAGCAGGAGAGATAGCCTTGGGTGTATCGATGATGAAGCGATGGAAGGAGTTGAATATGAGTCATGGTGGCGTAGACTTTCTCGGGGGGCTTGTGGTCGGGTCGTAGTGAGAGGGCATCGGCAACGCGGTTGCTTTTGYCGGGGGTATGGCAAATGGTGAATGTGAACTGGGCAAGGAAGTCTAGCCAACGGGCTTGGCGTGGAGTGATATCTTTCTTGGAGAGGATGGAGGAGACGATGGTRTTGTCAGTGCGGATGGTGAAGTATTGCCCGTCGAGGTACGGGCGCCAGACTGTGAGGGCGTGAATCACGGCGAGGAGTTCCTTCTCGCTGGAGAGGTAATTCATCTCCGGGGGAAGGAGCTTCTTGCTTGCGAAGGCGATAGGGTATTCGCCAGGTGGAGCCTCGGGGTGAGTGGGCAAGTCCTTGATGGAGGGGGTATCGGCGGTGTGGCGGGGGAAATGTTGGGACAGTACGGCTCCGATGGTGAAGTCGGAGGCGTCAGTGGTGACATAGAAATGGCGAGTGGGGTCGGCGATCTTGAGGACAGGGGCCGTGGTGATGGTTTGCTTGAGTAAGTCGAAAGCTTGTTGGCGGCGATCGTTCCAATGGAAAGGCTCGTCCTTGCGGGTGAGTTCGTGGAGAGGGTACGAGATCTCGGAAAAGTTGCGAATGAACGGGCGGTAATAGTTGGCAAGACCAAGGAAGGAACGGAGTTGGAGGAGGGTCTTGGGTGGGGGGTACTTGACGAGGGTTGTGACCTTTGAGGGGTCCATACGGATGCCTTCAGCGGAGACAATATGGCCGAGGTATTCGACGCTCGAAGCGGCAAACGTACATGTGTTGAGCTTGGCGTAAAATTTTTGCTCTCGGAGGATCGCGAGGACTTGGCGGAGGTGCTGAAGGTGGGACTCGAAGGTGGGGCTGAAGACAAGGATGTCATCAAGGTAGACAACGACACAGACTTCGAGGAGGTTGCGGAAGATGTGGTTCATGGTGGATTGGAAGGTAGCGGGGGCATTGGTGAGTCCGAATGGCATCACGAGGAACTCTTAGTGCCCGAACCGAGAGCAGAAGGCGGTCTTGTGGGTGTCCTCCTCGTGGATACGGATCTGGTGGAAGCCACCACGAAGGTCGATCTTGGTAAAGTACTTGGCTCGACGGAGACGATCAAGGAGCTCAGAAATCCGAGGTACGGGGCACTTGTTCTTGATCGTGATCCGGTTCAAGGCGCGGTAGTCTGTGCACATGCGGAGTTCCGAAGTTCCACCTTTCTTGACGAAAAGGCAGCTGGTTCCGAAGGGGGATGAACTTGGCTTAATGAACCCTTTTTTAAGGAGTTCACCGAATTGCCGTTTCATTTCTTCGGCTTCGGAGACAGAGAGTTGGTATGGAGGGCGGCAAGGTGGAGAATGTCCGGGTTCCAAATCGATGGTATGCGATACGCCACGATCCGGAGGTAGTCCGGCGGGTAAGGACTCGGGAAAGACGTCCCTGAATTCGTCGAGGACTGAAGTGATGGCGGGGTTGGAGGGCGGGGGCTTGATCGGGTTTGTCCGTCGGGAGTAAGTCCTTGGGACTTTTGCGATCAAGGACAAGACAGTAGTAGGCGGAGTCGGGGCTTAGGCGAGCCATGTGGAGGAATTGGTGCGGGGTGATAGAGCCTTGGGAGGTCGGATATGGGAGATAGGGGATGTCAATGGTTGTGTCGGGGGGGTTGGTGAGGCGAAGGAAGTTAGGGTGGAATGCGTATGGCATGTAGCGGTTCAGCTACGAGGTTCCTAAGACGATGTCGCACATCAAGTGCATGACATCAAACGAGACCTGACTGCGGAGGGTTCCGACGGTCATGATGGTCTCGGAAACCGTGCGGTCTACTACGACGGCGGTGTCTTTGTCCCCTAGGCGAATCGTGATCGGGGAGTCATAGCCGGTAGAGGTAAGACCGGCTTTGCGGACACATGCGTTGGTGATGAAGTTACCGGTGGCTCCAATGTCGAGGAGGGCCCGGAACTTAGTTGTAGACGCACCAACGGTGGCAGCGATGAATTTGAGGTGGAAACGAGATGAGTTGGCGGTGGAGATGATGGTGTTGAGGCGGCGTTGTTCGTTGCCTAAGCGAACAAGCCGATCGTGTCGGGCTTGTTCCTCAACAACATCAGAGAAGGTGATAGTGGATGCATTTGGAGGAAGGGTAGAGGAGCATGAGGCAGTGGAAGGTGTTTGCGACGCCTGGGAATCGTCCGATGGAGGGGGCGTCGCCGGAGAGGGGGAAGGCAAACGAATTGTCGATGTCAGATGGACCATCGGTGCGACGAAGGATGTCACCGATGGGTAGGCTGACAAATGCAATGTTGATGCCGGGTCAGTGTCCTGGGGACTGTGTTCATGATGAGGAGGGGCCCGCGCTTGCCGAGGGCRGTGATGCGGAGGTTGCGGGTTGCGTGGAGGCGGACTGACGGGTGAATCGTGCGGCGTTGGGGCAGTTGGTTTATTGGTGCCCCAATTGGCGACAACGGAAGCAACCCCCTTTTGCTTGGAGGTAGGTGCGCTCCTCGGGGGTGAGTTTCTTGAGGCGGGAGGGTGGGGTAGATGAGGGTGGTCGGGAGCTGCGATCTCTGCGCTCCATTCTCATGAACTGRACGACATCGAGTTCCTCGGAAGTGAGGGATGAAGAGTCGAGAGAATCGAAAGATGCGTCGGGGTCAGATGTGGTGAACTCGTCTGAGGAAGTGATGGAGGTGGTGTCTTCGGGGGTGATGTGGTGGAAAAAGCGGGTGCGGGAGGTGCCGGGGGGGGCCTGGTGGTGGGGGTGGAGGAGTCGATCGTGGTGGAGCATGCGAGAGAGGAGGTCAGCAAGGGGCATGTCGGGTTCGTGGGCGACGGTGGTTGCAAGGTCTTTGTGGCATACTCGTTTAGTGTGGGAGATGAACGCACAGTCGGGAATGACGGTATGGGGAAGGTGGTGTCGGAGGGAGCGGACGTATTGGACGAAGCGTTCCGTGGGACCGGTCTGGCGGAGGTGGCAGAATTGTTCAAGGTAGTCGTCAATGGTTTTCTGGGGGCGGAAGGTGGCAGTGAGGAGGGTGGCCCATTGGAGGAAGGTGTGGCGTGGTCCTCCGGAGGCTCGGCGGTTGCTAGCTTCAGCCATCCACCATTTGGCTGCATTGCCGAGGAGGCGGGAGGTGGCAGTGGGGAGCCAGTGGGCAAGGGGCATGTGGTGGAGCTGAAATGAGTTCTGAAGCTGGGTTAGGAAGAGGAAAACGTCCTCGTGGGGGAGACCGGAGAAGGACATGATTTCGCCAGATCGGAAGGAACGGGGGATTTCCCCGTTGTGGTGAACGATCTGCGCGAGGGTGTTGAAGCTGAGGTTATCGGGGGTGGTGTCGTAGCAGGTGTGGTCGATTTGGTTCTTGTCCTCAAGGAGGTAGTCGGGGGGAAGTTGTGGCACTGCGGGGAAGGCCCCAGAGGTGACTTGGGAATAGGTGGGACGGATGGTGGGGATGGTGGAGGTGGTCATGATGGGTTGGGAGAGGGTTTGGGAGTGCGGGGGGGGAAGAGGGGTGACTTTGATGGGCGAGGAATAAGGCGGTGTGCTGGATGCGCCGGATGAGGGAGGAGGTGGAGGGAACGGAACGATGGTGGGGATTGAAGGGTTGGTGGATATGGCGGTAGAGGTGGTAGGAGTGGAGGAGGTCGGCGGGGGGGTGTTGCTAGAGGCGGTTGTGGAGGAGGGAGTGGTTTGCGTTGTGGGGGTTGGAGTGGTTTGCACTGTGGAGGTTGGAGTAGTTTGCACTGTGGGGGTTGGAGTGGTTTGTGCGGCGGTGACGACCGTGATGGAGGGGGTGGTCCCTTCAAGCGTGGTGACGCGGTCGCATATGGACGACATGTTGACCTTCATGTCGTCGAGAGAGGCGGTGACGGAGGTTTCGAGGGTGTTGAGTGCGTGGAGGATGGCGGAGAGGTCGAGGGTGGTGGTGTTTGCTGGTGGTTGTTCGCCTGCGAGGTTGCGGGCGATGCTATCAACTGAGTCGGTGCGGATGTCGGACATGTTGATGGAGGATGCGGCCATGTCGGGGGAAGAGGGGGTGGAGGACGTAGCCTGAGCGGGTGTGGAGGATGCAGCAGCAGCGGTGGCGGCGGCGTCGAAGGCGGCGCGTTGGGATATCTTGGTTTGGCGTGGTGGCATGTGTAGGGGGGGGGGGGATCCCTTATTTAGTTATTAATAAATTAAAAAATAAAGATAATCCCCAAGTTTTTTTTTTTTTAAATAAACGCTGAACAGAAAGAGTTAATTAATTTCGAAAAAATAAATTCTGATGTAGATTTAAATTTATTTACAAGAAAACGTGAAATTTCAAAAGAAAATATTTTCGAATTACGGGGGAAAAATGAATAAATTCTGAAAAGAATTAG